AAGCAAGCAAGCAAGCAAATATGGGGCCAGGGAGATAGCTCAGTAGAATAAGCGCTTGCCTGGCAGGCGCAGGGTCCTGAGTTCAATCCCTGGTACTGCAAAAAATAAAATTTTTTTTAAATGTTCTAACAGGAAAGCCAGTGCTCCATGACCTTATATTTACAATATAAAAAATTGCCTTTATAGGTTGAGAGTAGAACTGCGGTTCCTACCGCTGGAGAGAAGGGGGAAGGAAAGGCCATAGAGGAGTTCTGAGCAGGGGCGTGGTGCTGTGCCGAGAGGTCAGGGCAGGGGAGAGGGTGACTGTTTATGTATCCCAGGCTGCCCTTGAATTTGCAGCAATTCTCCTGCCTCCCCAGTGCTGGGATTACAGGCATGTGCCACCACGCCCAGCTGGACTGTATGTTTCAAAACGCTAGAAGAAAGGATTCTGAACATCTTCACCACAAAGAAATGGTAAATGTTTAAGGAAACAGATACACTTACCCTGATTTAAAAAGACATTGTATGTAGGTACTGAAATGTTATATGGTGCTCCATACATGTATATATCTTTCATATTTTTAGGTATAACTTGTAAAAGAAATTAAAATTTTAAAGAGGGAACAATTTTCTATTGCAGACAAAAATAATATATGCAACCGTATGGCTCTTATTCAAATTATTTGAATACTAATAATTATACTTAATCACAAGTGAGCCAAAAGTGTTTTCTTGGCATTAATGGTATTTTAATTTAAAATATTATTTTTAAAGCTTTAGCTCATTTTGCTCTTAGTCACATTAATATAGCAGTAAATATGTATTCTATTTGCACACAACTACCTGTTCACAAATCAAAACACACAGTTTTGGTATGCATGTTCTATATTTTGTTTTATTAGAAGGAGTTCTTTATCAAAAGCTGCCAGCCACTGAGCTAGAAAACTCACTGAAGTTCTGGACAACCTTGCTGGTTCAGAAGATTTTACTACATTAAGTCACTCTCCCAGGGGTCCGACCTGATGCGGGGCCCAGTGAGGCAGCCTGGTGGCACAGGCAAGAGGCTACGGCCCTGATACTGTCACACAGCCAGGAATCCCAGCACCCAGGATCCCACCTTCGCAGCCTCTCCCATCCCCTGGGCCCCGGGGCCGCCTACCTTGCTGAGGAACTGGCTCCAGCCAGGCGGGCAGCCCCCCAGCGCCTCCGGTGGCAGGTCTGGGGGCTGCGTCTCCCGGGTTCTGTTGCTGCGCTTACAGACATAGGGCAAGGCTGTCGGACACCTCTGGTCACCCCAGTCTTCTGTGGAACCATAGGGAGGGAGTCACTCCAGGCAAGGCATGCAGGGTGGTGACACCCTCGGCCTCACACCCAGAAGTCTAGGCTGGGGCTCAGGGCCTGTGTCCAGCCCTGAACTCAAGCTTGTGTGACTGCGGGCTGTGGGGGCAGGCACACTTATGGGTTTATCAGCCTTCTTGGGTTTGGAGAAAAAGCCTGTGATAAGACACTGATGCTCCCTACCACAGCTCGCTTCAGCCCCCCCAACACGGATTCCATGATGGCACCCCGTCACCACTGTGCTTACCTCGGCTGGCTGTCATGTACACACACTTCTGGTCCCTGCCGATGGGCCGAGGCTTGCCTGGTGCCCAGGAGATGAAGTTTATGACGGAGCCGTCGGTCCACCTGCAACCGCACAGAATAGGGCTGGGGCAGCAGCACTGGCCGGGCTGAGCCCTGTGCTGAAGGCTGCAGGGCAGCGTAGGGAAGGCCGGAGTTCAGGAGCTCAGTGGCTGGAAGAGCACAGCTGCCCAGCGCAGTGCCGCCAGGGGCCCCAGGACCTGGTGTCCCCAGCTGAGGCCTGGCCCTTCCCAAGTGCTCTTCTAAGATGACCAAAAGCCCTGCAGGGACTCGGAGAGCAAGGTGCACCCAGATTCCAGGGAGTCCTGGTCCTCCTGCCTCAAGGACCTTGTTCATGTGCCTGGATCATGAGCCATGATCCCAGATGTCACAGAAACGGCCGCTAGTTAGTGCCCATTATGTGACAGGTGCTGCGCTAAGGACTGCCTTTGCTACTGAGCTAGCTAATCCTCATAAGACTGGTAGGTGGCAGGCTTCATTATTCCCACTTTTATTTTTATTTATGTATTTATTTATTTTTTGCGGAACCAGGGATTGAACCCAGGCCCTTGTGTTTGCCAGGGAAGTGCTTATTCCACTGAGCAGTCTCCCCGGCCCGATTCCCACTTTTAGATGAGAAAACCAGAAAGGCTAAGCCATTCACTACAGGCCACGTGGCCAGCAAGGAGCAGAGCTGGACCCAGCACACGCCCATGGATCTCTAGGTGCTGTGCACTTCTCTGCCTCGGGCCTGAGACAGCCGACCACCTCTCCAACCTGCTGCCCACCAGAGCTCCCACCTGAAGCGCCCGTCATTCTCCGAGGTGTGCAGGCCGATCCACCAGTGCTGCTCCTGGCCCCGGGAGAACTGAAGTGGGCAGAAGGGAGGGTGGGTGAGCACGTGCAGCCCGTGTACCCTCGGCCCCTGCCGGCCTCCTGCCCCTCTCGTGCCCACCTTCTGAAGGTTGTGCCCCAGAAAGTCCAGCTCGGCCTGGCTGTGCACTGAGCTCAGCTCAGCCTGGAACCACGTGCAGATGCGCTGCGCCTGCGCCCACGTGGAGTGATGCTCAAAGAACTTGTACTCAGCCTCCTGAAAGCGCAGCCACTCCTGCCCGCCTGAGGGAGCAGCGAACAGGCTGGGTCTGCTCATCCAGCCCAAACCACGCAGTGGCGCAGGGCAGGCGGCAGGCCTGCCAGCACCATGGCCTGGGACTGGCCTCCAGGCAGGCGCTGGGCCCTGGACGCGCCTCTCCTTCCAGGCTGGGCTGCTCAGTGCAAGCCCCGGCCACTCGGCCCCTCACAGCTGAACCCTCGCCCCTTGGCTTCCTTCCTAGGGCAGGGCTGAGCTGGGACCTCACCTTGTGGGCTGACGTCGGGCTCCTGCACAGCCACACCTGAGGGGCAACAGAGACGAAGACACTGAAGGGAAAGGAGCCCCGGGGTCCCCACCCCCGCACCCTCCTCTCTGCCGTGTCCCCGGTGCCACACCACCAACCTCTGGGGATCTTGCAGATCCAGTCAAGCTGTGTGTCACACTGCATCGCCACCCACTGCAGGGAGGCCAGGTCGAGCACCGCACAGCCCCGGATGTCATCATCGTCGTGCCGGCTCCGGTCAAAATTATGGTAAGAGAACTGGAGCCAGGGAAGAGATTTAAGACACAGGCGTTGGCTACTCTAGGCCTGGCACCTGGATACACGTGGGCTGGCTCGAGCTGAACCCTAGCCTCGGCTAAGGGTCCCCTCTGGGATGTGCTCTCCTTTCTCCAGGCCAGCTGCTTGGAAGCCCGGCCCACACCTAGGCCCCGCCCACAGCAGGCCAGGCCCCGCCCACCGCCTTCAGGCCCCGCCCCCGGGCCTCTCACCCCTAGGCCGTCGCTCCAGCGCCAACTCTGCCCCACTCTTGGATCCCGTCGGTTCAGGCCAATCCAGAACCAGTGCTGCTCGTGGATCTCGGGCTCTGATTCACTTCAGCACAACGCAGGGGAGGGGACAGAAGAGGGAGGTGAGACGCTGGTGCCGAAACAAGGCCCGGGCTCTCAGCCTAAGGCCGCACTCTGGGCTTCACCCTGCCCAGCCCGAGCCACGTGGATGGCCTTAGCGGAAGCTCTCCAGAGCTGCTGGTCAGGCTCTCCGATCCCGGGCTGCCCTGTGCCGTGCCTGCCCAGCGAGACTGTGCGTGCTTCCTCGTTGGAAAGCTCATGGGCAAGTGGCAGAGGCCGGGGCGTGGAGCTATGGAGACCTGGGTTCCAGGCCCCATTCACCCATGAACAGCCCTGCGGCCTGAGCAAAAAAAACCCGACTTCTCTATCAACCCCGGGGTGCGGAAATCCTTGCTTCACTGGTGTTGAGAGAAGTGGATGCGGGTTGTGCCATTGGGAGTGGTAGTCGTGATGAACACCAGCTATTATAACTACTAATCAGGGGCCAGGGAGATAGCTCAGTAGAATGAGCGCTTGCCTGGTGAGCGCGAGGGCCTGAGTTCAACGCCCCCGCCCCATAATAATAATAACTAATCAAATAACAATTGCTGGGAGGAAATACCCGTGGGGCTCAGATCTCAGCCGACATCCACCTGGATTTTCCCAAAGCTAAGGGATTATAGGTACTGTCAGAGAACTGAGTATAGAGCCCACGGGACAGAGCGGGGCTCCTAGAGAAACCCCCTTAGGCGGTCACTTCAAGCTGCAGCCTCTGCTTTGGCCTCTGAGGACAGCTTCCTGAGAATAAGGGTCACTATGGGACATGGAGGGGGCCCCAACTTGGATTAGCTTATAAAAGATCCTCAATGCCTGAGGGGGACGTGCTGGCTCCAGTGTGCGGGTCATGATTTTATGTGAGCAGACCACACCCGTGTGCCCAACTCTCGGGTCCATGGCTACTGGAGAAGAACAAGATGGTACAGGCACTAGTGGCAGGTACAAGGTCACTCCAAGGTCTCAGGCAGGTCCCACTGGGGTTACCTGCACCCTGCCTACCTCCCACCCCATCCCCCACCAAGAGTTGCCTGCTCTCCCACAAATGGAGGTGCCCCACCCCAGGCCCAGTACCCAAAGATCTTGTTGAGCATGTTGGCCACAAAGTGCTCCTCCTCATAGGTGGCCAGGCTCAGCAGCTGGGCCCCCAACTCCTGGCAAGCGGCCTGGGCCTGGATCCAGCTCCTCTTGTCCTGCAGCCGCTCTGAGCTGAACACCTGCAGGCGCAGAGTCCAGGTGTCTTGGCTGCCCCACCAGCCTGCCTCTCCAAGGGTACCTGCCCCCCGCCCAGGACTGCTGTGGTCTCCCGGATGGTGAGGGGCTGGCTAGCTAAGCACAGTGCTGCTCGGCAAAGAACGAGCCCAGAGGAGGGGAGCTGGCAGTCAGCGCCTGGCTCAGCCCTGTGCACGAGGCCCCGATCAGAGGGAAGGTCTGGGCTCTGGCCCCACGAGGTCACAGTGTGCCGGGAGCAAGTCCCTTCCTCCTCGGACTTCTGCTTCTGTACCTAAGAGAAAGGCTTGGACTATGTGAGGGCCTCACAACCCCGGCAGACTACCTAACCCCACACAGACCTACTGAATTCAAATCTCCACGGTGGCAACATTGATTTTTATTTTGTGTTTTGAAGTACTCAGGACCAGACCCAGGGCCTCACACACACTAGACTGAAATCCTTGGCCTGTTTCCCCAGGGGCCCGGGGTGTTTCTGAAGAGCATGCTGGTATGGGCCCCAGCCTGGTGGACCCGGACAGCGACCTCAATGGCTCCACCAGCTCCTTCAGTGTGCACTGGCCACCCGCTATAGATCTCACTGGTGAGTTTCACTGGACACTCCCGGTCTGCAGGCTGGAGCAGTGGCTCTGGTTCACGGTGCCCCCAAGGTAGCCACCTCCTTGCTCTTGTCCCCGCCCAGCCTGTGCCGTCCCCTACCTTGTAGCAGTGCCGGAGTTTGGGGTCTGAGGCCCAGCCCAGAGGACAGGAGCCAGTTAGGCTGGGGGTGGGGTCGGGCCCAGGCAGCTCTGGCGTCACCGGTGTGCCCAAGCTCTGCCGGCAGATGTACCGAGCGCGGAACGAGGTACAGTTCTTCACCTCCCACAGTCCCATGGCGCCGCCTGTGGCCAGGGCCACACAGCCCCCACGGCTGTACCCTGATGGAGGGAGAAGGAGACTCATGCACCAAGGACTCACACCGCTGCAGGGAACCGCGACAGCCCTGGCCCAGGAAGCGGCTGGGCGCCTCTGCAGGGACCAGCTTGGCAGGGGTGGGGGCCCAGACAGCGGGGAGCAAGAGGCATAGTCTTGCCTCTTTGTTCACTCTGAGCTCGTAGGCAGCTTGTTTAGCCTCTGATCCTCATTAGGTTATGGAAAAGGTTAGAACGCAGAGTTGTGAAACGGTAATACCAGTAGCACACACTGTATTGTCTTACTGTTCTTTGCAACTTACATGCATTGTCCCTTTTCATGTGTTAGAATTTCACTGAGATTTAAGCTTCATGTCAGCTCTATGAAGAACGTACATCTATCCCTATTTGACAGATGAGCAAACTGAGGCCCAGAGGATGTGTAAGTAATAAAAAGCAGCATCGGAATCTGACCTAGGGCTGGGGAGATGGCTCAGTGGAATAAGCGCTTCCCTGGGATCTGACCTGAACAGTTTGGCTCCATAGCCCTGCTCCTAGGAGGGTACTCTACACAAATCACCAACTGTCCGGAAAGCCCAGGGGCTTGTGCCAGCAGGGCAAGCCCACCATGACCTCTAGCTCCATCAGTGCCAGTTGGTGTAGGGGGCTGCCACAGGGTGTGGGGCTCACCAGGCTGGTCCCGGTTCCAGTGGGTGTACATGACCTCGTCCCCGCTGAGCCAGCGGAAGGAGCCGGTGCCGTTGAGGTCCTGCAGGGCCGTCCAGAAGAACTCACCCTCCCAGCTGTAGATGAGGCTGCTGACAAAGGCCTGCTCGAACCTTTGGAGGACAGGCTGGTCACACAGGGGCACACACCCCGCGCCCGGGGCCCGGGACCCTGGGTCAGCCCTCGCGCCTCTCGCTCAGGAAAGGGGGCCTCGCTGTGCTTGGGGAACCAACAGGCCCCCTCCTTTCCAGTGCTGTCCACATCTCATACTGTTGGGAAGCAGAGAAATGTGAGGTACAGCCACGGGCTGTCCCTGAGCAGCTGCCCATACCTGCAACCACCCTGCTGCTCTGCCCCACACCACTCAATAAGAGCCTGCCCTTAGACAAGACTCCAGAAAATCCCTGGCAGGACACCACCCCACTTAGTGAAGGACCCACGCTATGTCAGGATGCAGGTGGGGGCGCTGAGGGCTTCCGATCACCTCCTCTTGTACCTGTTGGTGATGGTGACCAGCTGGGAGCTGTGGTCAGTGCACAGGCGCCGGGCCTCGCTGTAGGTCACTGGGTCCTCTCCAAGCCAGTAGCAGGAGGGGCTATGCCATGTCCAACCCTGGCCCAAGAGAGCAGGCAGGAGAGGGGCATCCATGGGGAGGATGGCTGCCACCCTCACTCTAAGTACCCAGGCAGGGATGCCAGCCTGGGCATGGCTGCGGTGGGGGACAGCATCTGCACCTGGCCCCTCTCTATTCCCTCTCTAACCATGACCCACAACTGCCAGACAAGGAGGCAGTGTGGCCCAGGGGGGTTGATGAACCCAGCCCACAGCCCAGCTCAGAAAGACAAGTGGCGCTTAGACCAAGGGCACAACGGGCAATCTGCCAACTGGCTGAGGAAGCAGAGCTGCAGAGCTGGGGTGAGGTGCCAGCACAGAGGGCTGGGCTGAGAGGACACATCTGGCAGGGTAAGCGGCGGGAGACGTGGTTGAGGAAATCACTGCCCATGCAGGACAGCTCCTGAGCAGCAGCAGGAGCCAGGGCTTGGGGAGAAGCAAGCACGGTGTGGGCATGTGCTCCGTGTGCTTTCAGAGCCCAGCCATGCCAGGGTGTTCACCACGGGCACTCGGTGCCCCTCTGCACTTACTCCAGGCTGGCCCTTGGTCAGGCCATTAGCAATTCCCCTCCAGCCCCCAGCACTTCCTCCAGGCCAGGCCAGCACCCCAGCCACTCCCTGGGCAGGCGCACCCACCTGACCCAGCCGCTCCCCCTTCTCCCCCAGCTGACCATGGCCTTTCCTGTCCTGGGGGAAGGAGGGCACTGGGGTATGGGGAGTAGGGGAAGAGACTATCCTACAGAAAGAAGACAGGAAGAGCCAGGCCTGCAGCAGGAGTTGAGAGGGGCCAAAGGCCACAAAGTGTCCCTTAGAGCAACGGCCCCAACCTCACCCACTCACACCCCGTGCACCCGAAGAGGAGGTGGGCCTCCACCATCTGTCCTCATTCACATGCTGTCCCTGAGCTTTCCTGGAAACCAGAAGGGCAGGACTACAAGGCGCTCAGGCTCAGCCACACCGGAGGCCTTGGTCTCCCAGGGGCAGCTGAGCACACACTGTCAGGCCCAGGTGTGCACTGGCCAGGTGGAGGCGGAGGCAGGACAAGGGTGCCTCCGTCCACAAAGACGGACCTCAGGCCAGCCCTCACTTCTGCACCTCTGCTGGGAAGTAGCTTCCCCACAGCGAGGAGCAAGGAGTCTAGGACAGCCCACCTCACCAACGCAGCCCACACCTCCAGTGTCACTCCTCTAGGAATGGGGAGCCGAGGCACTGAAGGGAGAGGGCACTGGGGAGGGGGCGCCAGGGGAGGGACAGGACCCCCTCCACCCTCCTGCTCCTGGGACTCCTGGACCGAACCAAAACCCTCACCTTGCGGCAGCCGTGGTCCTCCTCGGCAGTGCCCTGGCTCAGCTGGCCGGCCTTCTTGCAGATGGATGGCAGAGACTGGTTACAGGGACTGTCGTTCCAGCGACCCTCCTAGGGACACATGGGAAGGACCGGCTCAGGCCCCTCTCTGACCCTGGCCAACGCCTTCTGCTAATGTGGTTTCTAGACCCAGCCCTGCCTTGGTCTTGCAGTGAGCCAGAGCAATTTGCCGGGCAGCAGAGGCTCCTTTAGAACTGGGGTTCAAGGCGGTCCCCGGCCTGCCTAACGCACCTCACTCCTCTGGCCTGTGCCCACATCCTCTTCCCCTGTGCTTATTCCTCTTGGGCAGATCACTTCAAGCTGGGAAGCAAACGGCCCCACCTCCGGCACAGCGATCTCCCAGATGCCAACACTATTCCACAAAACCAGGCTCCGACCACAACCTGACCAAGACTGCGCGAGTGCACACTCTTGCTCGCCTCTTGGGCCCCTTCCCCTGTAAAATCTGAACACTTCTCAGCACCCCTGAGACCAGGCCTCACACACTGGCCCCCACTCTTCCTGGCCACGCTGAATGAATTCCTCTCTTCTCCCTTCTTCACTGGCTGTTGGACTGCAGACTCGGGCCGGCGACCTAGGACTGCAGGAAGAGCCGAAGTGCTATGTACCCCAGGCGGGAGAGCGGGGTTAGCTCAGTGAGCTTCAAAGCATGAGAGCACAGTGATGTGCAAATGCCGCGACACTTTGGCATCCACTGCCAAATGAGAAGGGGCGTTCTTATAAATTATGTACAAACGTCTAGAACAAACCAGCTAAGGTCGCTGGGGCAACTGCAGCAGCAGAGACAGGGGAATCCCAAGGCGGGCAGGAGTGTGTCCCAGGGCCTGCAGGGGATTCCTGAAGCCATGGATGGCACCAAGCCCTATGCTATGTTTTCTTACCTATGATAGGGTTTGATCTATAAATTAGGTACGATAAGAGCCTAACAACACACATATAACACTACTATAACGAAAGCGTTAGAAGGCTTTACTTTTTTTCTGAAATTTTCCATTTAATATTTTTACACTATGGATGACCTTAGGTAACTGATGCCATGAAAAGTAAACCCATGGGGACTATTGAGGGGGGGAAGGGAGGGAGAGAGGGAAAAAAGGAGAGGGAGGAGGAGAAGGGGAAGGAGAGGAGGAGGGGGAGGGGGAGGCCAAGGGGGAGGGGGAGGGAAAGGGAGAGGCCTGTGCGCTCGTTTAGTCCTGGACCTCACAGCAGCCCGAGCCCTCCCCAGTACACAGACTCCCCACAAACAGGCTCCTCCCAGTCTGCCTCCAAGCTCCTTCCTGAAGATACACATATTTGCAGAGCATAGCACCCAGAAAATGGCTGGAGCATAGTACACACTCAACAAATAATTGTTTTCAAATTTTTAGACTGGAGCTGGGATACAGCTCGGTAATAGACCACTTGCCTAGCATAAGGCCCTGGGTTTGGTCCCCAGCACTGCAGAGAAAAATAGCATCCGCATAAGGTAAATGGTTTTGCCACTACATGCCTGGTACTGTGTTCTATAGCAGAATTCTACCTGTGCTAGAAATAAGCCATTGTCCCCGTGGCTTTATCCTGTTTGAAAGGCTTTTTTTCTCCGCTTGAAGCCCTGCGTCAAGTCCTTCACCCACCCGTCGTATGCCTAAGGCAGAACCATGGCAGCCAGGCTCAGTGGTGCGTGCCTATACTCTCAGCCCTCTGGGAGGCTGAGGCCGGTGGATCACAAGCTTGAACCTAAGTAGGGCAATTTAAGAGACTTAGTGAAACCCTGTCTCAGACAGCGAAAAAGGATTAAGGACGGAGTTCATTGTGAAGGCCCTGGGTTCAGTTCCTCAAAACGAATCACAGCTCCCTAATTTCTCAAGAAGATAAGACCCTCAGCTGGGTAGGGGAGGGAGCTGGAGGAGACAAGGGCTGGCAGAGGGCAGACCTCGCTGCAGGGCCTCTGCATCGTAGGGGTTGTGGTGCCACCTGCTGGCAGGGAAGGGCAGCTGGTGAGGGGCTGAGGAGGGGCAGGGCAACAGGTTCCAACAGAGCGTGCCCCTGTAATTCTCCCAACTCCCCTAGAGGAGGGAGAGGTGGCCAGCGGCCTCTGCACAGGGAAGACATGGGATTGCTGGGAAGCAGGGGACAGAAGGGAGGATGGGGCAGGACAGGCAGGGGCTGAGAGCAGCTCGTCCTTCCACTGGGACTGTGGGGTGGCTTCTGTGGCCCTGTCGTGGGGAAGGAGGATCTCACCGGCCCCCAGATGGTGACACAGTCCTCTAGACTATCCCGGAAGTTGTTGGGCTCAAAGGGGTGCCAGTGGGTGAAGCGCACAAGGCTGCCGTCAGACCATTCAAAATTCATCTGCTGCTTCAAGTCGTTGAGGCCGATCCACAGCTCCTCCACCTCTAGGTCCCCGCGAACAGAGGGGACAGAAGACATGGAGAGGTCAGCCTTAGCTGCCAGCGGGAGGGGATTCTCTGAGCCCCGGGCAGGATGGATGGACAGACAGCAGAGGCCCTGCCGTCCACCCAGATGTGCGGCGAGGCAGCTCCTCACCTTGCTTGATCTGCTTCGTGACGAACTCCAGCTCGGCCATGCTGTGGATGCTGAGCAGGTCCCCGCCCCCCCGGAGACAGGCCTTCTTGGATTCCTGCCAGCTGCGCTTCTCGGCCTGCAGGCGGTAGCAGCAGCCCTGGAAGGGCTGCCAGCTGGGGTCACACTCCACCTTCACGCTGGCCCACCTGTCTGTGAGAGCCGCAGGGCCACTGCTCAGAGACTGAGCCACCAAATCTGGAAACCAACCAGGCAGAGCTTCCAAGTCGCCCTGGAGCCGCCTGTCCCAGATCTGCCTTTCCCACACCCCACAGCCATGGACAGACCAGGCAGTAGGGGCAGATGCACGGGAAGGGTCAGGACAAGCAGCCCCCAAGCTTTCGGTTCCTCCTCTGCCAGGGGCACTTCCTGCTATGGGAATCAAACTGATCTCTGGCAATCTTGCTTAGCCTATGGGACCACCATTCTCCCAAATGACATCCGCTGGGCACCACATGCAGGGGACAGCACGGGAGGGAGGGAATGGGGACACTTATTGAGGCCTGTAAGTGGCCCTGGCCCCCTGGGGATGTGCTAGGTGAGCACCCAGAAAGACTACAGGATGCACAAATCACTGCAGATTGGCCGCATTCTTGAGCTAAGGTTCCTCTCCTGGCACCTTTCCCCAGCCCCTCCCCCTGCATCCCTCTCTGGACTCCAGTTCAGTGAATTTCAGGTTTACCCTCTAGGTACTGAGGTCTAAGAGCAGCTGAAGGGAACAAGCCCTTACTTGGGTTTTGGCAAAAGAAAAAAGGACTTCACCATGCCACCCACAATGTCAGGTGTGGGCAGGATCCTGCCCTGACCAGGCAGGAAGGCATGTGCCCACTTGAAGCAATACTCCATGCTGGGATGCCTGGGCCACTGCACCCCTGCAGACAGCTGCCAGGCCAGGCCGCTCGGTGCATGCAGACCTGGCAAGGTGGGTGGGCAGAGCAGAGTGGCCTCTCCTCAGCCCGGGAACTGTCAGTCACCTCTTGTTGGTCAATGAGCCAAGACCCGAGGCTGCAGCCCCAGACAGGAAATGTGGGTGCTTTGGGGGCATGATGGTGCCTGCTTCCAAATGACATGCCCTCACTGTGCTGAGACACAGGAAGCCAAGTGGCCTCCAATATGCCGCGTGCCGAGAGCTGGGGCTGCGGCAGAGGAATCCGAGGCGACAGACGACTGCTCGAGTCCTGGAGGCCTGAGGAGCCCCTGCCCCCCAGGGAGACTTAGCCAACAGGGAACAGGGAGCTGCTGGGAAATGGGGCCTGGAGGGGGAGGCTTGGGCGGGCCAGCTTCTGACCCCCTCGCTCCCGGGGGGCGAGAGCAGCCGCTCACGCTGAGAGTCAATCTTTGGCAAGAACTTCATGATCTGGAGCAGGAGCAGGCTAAGCCTTTTATTTTCTGTGGGTTTGCAGATTTTTTTCCCCTTGTTTTGCTATATTTTCTTTGTGAAAATCTCTTTGCCAACTCCATGGCTGCCCAGGCAGGAGCAGTAGCCCCCCATTCAGCCTACACAGCTGACCCAATTGCCACCTACAAAGATGCTGGTCCTGGTGGCAGGCCAGGCCTCAGAAGCACCCTGCAAGGTGAGAATGAACTAAGCCCTTGCCCGAGGCCACACCCCACTAAGGAGCAGAGTCCTTAAGTCAGGGCCTCCCCGTGTCCCAAATTCTGACTCCCCCATGAGCCTCCAGACCTCTCTCTCTCTCTCTGAACCATGAATACAAGCAAGACACTTGCCGAAGCCCACCCGGCACTGCCAAAACCTCACCTGGTGGCCAGGCCGCTTCAGCGTCTGGCTGCAACCTGCCTGGCTCAGCTCGCCGTGCCCAGCAGCCAATGCTTCTGAAACTGTACGTGCACACGACTCACCTGGGCTTTGTGACCCGCAGCTTCTGGTTTAAATAATAGCTAAATCTCAGAAGCCACCCACATGTCCATCGACAAGTGAATGGATGGGGTATTTACACACGGAGCACGACTCTCCTGTGGAGCAGGATAGACTCGAGTCCTCTGCAGGACAGTGGCTGCGCCGTGAGGCCATGGTGTTTGTTAGTGCAGTACATGGGACACACAGGCGTAAATACCACGTGCTTCTCTCTCTCATATGCGAAACCCAAAATATAAATGAAGAGCAAGATAGAAGACAACAGGGTGTAGGGAGACAGATCTTTCTTACATGGGCAGGCCATCAAGAGACGGAGGGAAGGGGCCGGGGAGATGGCTCAGTAGGATAAGTGCTTGACTGGCAAACACAAGGATCTGAGTTCAATCCCTGGTTCCGCCAAAAAAAAAAAAAAAAAAAAAAAAAGAGATGGAGGGGAGGGAGGAGGAGAGGGCGGGAGAACGGAGGTGTGTTATGCGTGTGCACCAATGCCTCACAAGGAGCGCAGCCACGCAAACATGTACTAACAGCCGAGACAAAGGGGGTGCGGCCTGTCCACACACTCCTGGTTCTCCTGCACCAAGCACCCCACGCAGTCAGTCTGCCCACTCCCACACCGCCCTGCCCACCACCCCTTCTGCCGCCTCTCCTCCATCACTGTATGTCCAAGTCCTGGCCAGGGACACCCTCCACCACTGCTGCCTTTGAAGCCTTTACTCAACCAGAAGGGCCCACCTCAAAGGTCAATTCCATACAATATTCTGTAACTCCGAAGCTTAGTCTGCCTCTTCTCCAGCACCTTTTAAATATGGATTTTAATAACGTCTCCTAACTCAGACAGTGTCATCTTGTGTAAGACATCTGTCCCCTCTAGCGGACAGTGGCTCCACAGGGCACACCGGCACAGGGAGTACTGCCAGCACTTAGCATAGCTGCAGCAGCCCTGGGATGAGTTAGAAGCATAGCTTCCCAGCAGCAGCCCTGGGACGAGTTAGGGCTGCATCCAATTTGTTCAGACTTTAGCTGAACAGTAAAAACGAAGAGCATTAGAATTCCTGGGCACAGAGGCCAGGAGGAGAGGCTGGGCAGGCTGCGGTGACGATTCCTATCCAGACGCCCCATACGCTCAAGGTGGGGCATGGGGAAGTGCTGCCTCACAGGCTGCGACAGGCATGGCCTGCCCAGTCCACCCTACATCTGTACCTGTCTCTATTCTTTTTCTCTCACTTTGGAGACAAAATACCCCACACCCAGAATTAAGGAAGGAAAGGTGCATTTAGCTCACAGTGCGTGGAGGTTTCAGCCCATACTCGCTGGCTCCAAGGCAGAGTGGCACAAGGCAGAGGGCAGCGGCTCATGACGGTGGAAGACAGCAAGAACAGCCAGAGCAAATGAGAGGAGCAGCCAGGGCAAGCCTCTTTCTGTCCCTGGACTGCTGCGTGCAGGCTGCCGCCCCCAGCCGGTGTAGCACTCACACCCATAATGCCAGCACTGGACCATGAATCAGCCACCAACTCCAGATTCAGCTGCCCCCAGGGCTGCCCGAGGCTTTGGGGGGACATCTAGGCACAGACCAGAACAATCCCCACGTGGTGTCTGGAGGCGAGGGCTGCTGGACGAGTGTGGCCTGAACGGGTCTCTGTGCAACCGCCGCACCCCGCCCCCACCTTGATTCCTCCTCTGTCCTTACTGCCTACTGTGCACCAGGTCGCCTCCGCTGCCACTCGGCTGCCAGGCTGCCCTGTGGCAGACCGAGGCGGAAACCCCCGCAAAGCAAGCCCTTTCTCCCCTCCCCCCCCCTGCGGTGCAGCGCAGCCCACGGGGTGGGGGCGCGGTGGGGGCTCACCTGGCGGGGTGGGCTCCGCCGTGGCATTGGGCCTCTTCTTGCACACGTAGGGCAGCGCGCTGCTGCAGTCACGGTTCTGCCAGCCGCCCGAGGACTCGGTGCGGATCACCCCACAGTTCTCCTCACTCGGGTTATCTGGCTGATCTGTGGGGCACACCGCGCCAGCGACAGAAGTTCACCCCGCGGCCCCTTCCTCCCAGAAGCCAGAGCCAGCTGGAGGGTCCCCACTCTCTACCCCACTCGGTCACGGGGTCCTCACCACTCTCTCCCTCCCCCCATACCAGGGATTGAACCCGGGCCATCCACACTGAGCTACATACCCAGACTTTTTTTTTATAAATTTTTATTTGTGTGCGTGCGTG